ACGACCCTAGCAAACCCACCAATCATCTCCTCTTTCTCGACGCCAACAACCTGTACGGTTGGGCTATGAGCCAGTATCTACCCACCGTAGATACTGTCCTAAAGTCGAGTGGGTGCCTGAGATAGACGTCATGAGCATACCGCCGGATTCGGGGGCAGGTTACATCCTCGAAGTTGACTTGGAGTACCCAGCAGCATTACACAAGTCCCACAACGGCTACCTCCTGGCTCCAGAACGTTTGATGGTGAACCCGGACTGGATGTCTGACTACCAACGAAGGGTCGGGAAGAATAAGCTAGCCAACGTCGAAAAACTCGTACCCAACTTGATGAACAAGGCCAAGTACATCGTTCACTATCGCAACCTGCAGCTGTACCTGTCACTGGGTATGAGGCTAACTAAAACCCATAGGGTGCTCAAGTTCGACCAAAGCCCCTGGATGGAGCCTTACATCAAAGTGAACACGGACCTGCGAAAGCTGGCCACCAGTGACTTCGAGAAGAACCTCTACAAGCTCATGAACAACTCGGTGTTCGGTAAGACGATGGAGAACCTGAGGAAACACGTGACCGTGAAGCTGGTCCGGTCGGAAGAGGAAGACAAGCTCACGAGACTTATAGCCAGCCCGGCATTCAACCGGAGCAAGAGCCACATCAAGTTCAACCGGCCCGTCTACGTTGGGATGAGCATCCTCGACCTCTCCAAGCACCTGATGTACGACTTCTACTACAACAAGCTTAAGAAGCAGTATGGCGACAGGTGCGAAGTGCTGTGCACGGACACGGACTCCCTGCTGATGGAGATTCGAACCGAAGACGTGTACGAGGACATGACACCAGTGACTACCCCTAGGACCATGCCATGCACAGCACGGTTAACAAAAACGTCCTCGGTAAGATGAAGGACGACTGACGATAAACAAGATGTCCCTGTCAACGATGGACACGAAGCGTTGGACAGCCGCCAATGGAATCAACACGTACGTGTACAGGCATGAGAAAATTGAACCAAAGACATAGCCGTATGTATACGATGCCACAGAACCAGAGAAAGTTTGAGGCTATTTACTACAGCCCGCATGGGTACTGGAAAGGAGCTATGCTATACATAAGCTTGCCAAAATGGCGAGAGTACCCCTGGACGAGGCCAAAGCGTGGCTTGAAAAACAAGCCCTGTGGCAGATCTACCTACCGGCACCACGCTAAGTGTCTAGAAGAAAGTTCGGCATTGCCGTACCCAATAGCGTCCACCAGGCCGACCTTCTGTTCCTACCCCACGACAAGAGGTACAAGTATGCCCTAACCGTTGTGGACGTGGCCAGCCGCTACAAAGAAGCCGAACCCTTAACCGCAAAAGACTCGGCCCAGGTAGCCCGCAGATTCGAACGCATATACAAGCGCAGCCTGCTGACATGGCCCACCGAACTGCAAGTCGGTCCCGGATGGGAATTCATGGGTGCCGGGTCACAACTGCTAACCAAGCACGGCGTCCAGGCCAGGCGTGGCGTGGCCAGGGCTCATCGCAGCCAAGCCATAGTCGAGAGATTCAATCGGACTTTGGCAGAGCGCTTATTCAGGCCTCAGTATGCGAGAGAGATGGCCAACCCAGGAAGCGATCGACGGAATGGGTAGCGCGGCTACCTCAAGTGGTGTCGGCTATCAACCACGAAACCACTCGGCTCACCGGCAAGAAACCGGCCGACGCGTGGGAAGGAGAAACAGATACCCGACCGGGTCCTCGTGAGGTACCTCTATCAGCCGGGAGAACATGAAGGCGACACTCGGAAACGACCCACCGACCTGACATGGTCGGTCAAAACTTACAACATAGATAAAGTGGACATCAAAGCCGACGAGCCGAACTTGTACTACTTGAGAAGATGGGCCAAGTAGCGATTCAAAATATTTAACACTTACCTTGTCGAGTGATCCCAATAGTGGGCAAAATATGCTTCGATTTGATGTTTCGCACGTTAGATACGTTTTGAAACAACTCGTTGTAAGATCAATGGTATCTGACAGACACTAGTTCAGTAATCTCTATGAATATGTCTTTAATATCCTTGTTCATCCCAGCTGCTTTCATGTTTATTCATGATCTGCTCTTCATGACATTGACAAAATAAAGTATATCTATCATACATTGACAACACGGACATGACATAAGCAAACTTGACATTCAATCAGTTGAGCTAAAAAGCAACATGTCTAAATTTGACACTTACAAATGTTCCACAGACATTACTCATACCTGTTGTTGCCAATCCTGAGCTACATTTACTGTTTTCAAAGTTAACTCTTTCAACACCAATCAACCAGAGGCTTTTGCCATGGCACCGAGTTCCCACAGACTCTGACGTGATAGATGAAGCCAAAGTTTATCAAGGAATATATCAGCTTGCAAAACATTATTGCCACTAAATGTCAGACACCATTTGAAAGGTCTAATCCTACTGTTTATAAATACGAAAGTTATTTTTTATCATATTATTCAAATAATACAACTACAACTTAAATGGTTAATTTTTAATGAAAATGCAAGCTTACACATTATAATGGTGAGATGAACCATGAAAGAAGAAAAATATGTGGTGATTTTTCCATTTGTAGCATGTCATAATATTCCCTTACCTTCTTCTTTTATATATTTCATTTTTAAGTAATCAAAAATTATCATAAAAAGATTTCTGAAACATTATGTATGGTCATCTATTCCAGATATCAGTGGCTTTCCACTCGATAACATGACACAACAGCAGGAAATACCTCCACTTTCGAAGCTTTGTATGAAAAACATGCAAGGTGATTTGTTTGATGGCGGGTATCTTTCGAAAGCTCTGAACAGCAACAATATCACTGTACTCATGCCAAGAGTATTTTCACAGTTGTAAGACGAGATTTTATTAGATAAAGACTTTTTTTTCTAATGACACTTTTCTTGTGAGAGTGATTGTGATTGGTCAAAATCATGTATGTGACCACAGGCAGCCAATCATATTACAGCAAAGAATACCGTCCTTGTAAACAAAAACTTTGAGATTTAGATAAAAGCTTCAGGTAAAATCATGCTATTCTGAATGTGTTACGCAAAAAATCACAACCTATACGTAAATTATAGACTGACTGACTGAGTTTGGTTTTACGCCGCTTTTAGCAATATTCCAGCAACATCACGGCGGGGGACACCAGAAATGGGCTTCACACATTGTACCCATGTGGGGATTCGAACCCGGGTCTTCGGCGTGCCGAGCCAACGCTTTAACCACTAGGCTACCCCACCGCCCCCGTAAATTATAGAATTTAGTGGACATATTGTGCTAGTGTATGACCTGTGAATAAAATGCTTCATGCAGGGGTGGAAATAACTTTAAAATTGCTAGTGTACTCCGGTACAGTGGCACATGTAAAATCACTTGCCCTGATCATTTTTCCACTATACCGGCCTTTTTCTTGTTGATTTTTTAAATAAACAACATTATTAATATTGGAAAGTCAACTGGACACCGGTACAGCGTGATATACAAAATTGCTTGCCCTACAGAAAAAAACACTGGACTCGGACGTCGGGCAATGGGTTATTTCCACCCCTGTTCATGCATATATTTTAGCATTAAAGATTGTGTCTGAGCGTGAACCTTGAGGTGATGAAAGCCAAGATGTTGCTTGGCTTACATCACACGATCGCACAAAAAAGATGGAAATAGTAACTTATAATGTACGTTTGACAACTTTTATGAGTACTGTTGTTCATTGTATTCATTAGTTTATTCAATTTGTTTAATCATTTCCTCATCTTTACTTTGCTCTTTGACAACTGTGATGTGGACCGATTGCCGAAGCATGTGTCCGAGCATTGCATATTCAGGCCTACCAAAGAAAACTTTCCCACTGTACAGAAAAACTCAGAAGGGCCCACATTAATCGTGGAAATAGCAACATAAACATAATACCTCGCTATTGAAACAGTAAAAACCGCAACGAATAGCCATGAAACTGCAACATTTTTGTATCAGCGAACTTTGACCTCTACTGCACATGCGCATTACAATCCACGCTTCTTTCAAATTCTGAGCAATCCTGAATCGCCGTGAGTAGAAAAATATTGAATATGTCGAAATCATTGCTGTCAATCATTTCATACGAATAGGAAGTAAACTAAACAAGCATTGTCACTAAGGTGACATAATCCCCTGCCGCAAATTATCAAATCAAACTTAAAAAGTAATGAAAGTGAAGGTCGTAATTTAAGATGAAGTTAAATGTCACTCACTTTGACCTTGACATGAATGTCTTAGTGTATGAAATATGCAAAAATAGTAATAAAGAAATTGCTTATTAAAAAACATTCAAGGGAAGTCTTGAAAAGTCTATGAAGAAAATCCAGAAACCAGTTCTTGAGATATCTCGCTGACAAGGGTAAAACGTTAAAGTCCCCTTGTGACCTTGAAATCAAGGTCAATGTCACCAAACCTGACTGGGACCTTTCGTTTACCGTGATAACCTAGGTACCAAATATGAAAAGAATCCAGTTAAAGGTTCTTAAGATATTCCAATTCGTACGGACGGACGGACAGACGGAGCCTAATACTATATCCCCCTCTTCGCGTTTGACGTGTGGCGGGTGATAACAAGTGTCCACACAAGTATGATGATGATAAATGCCAAATAACACAACAAAAATACTATAAAAAGGGAATATAACTTTTGTCCAAACTGGAAAATGTCAACATGCGGTCGAGACTTCCTCTTCCATGTGTGCATGTGCAAAATCCAGTTTTAGCGGTTTAAAGTTGCCGTTTTTTACTGTTTCAGTAGCGAGGTAGTATGTTTATGTTGCTATTTCCACAATTAATGTGGACTTTTCTGCGTTTTTCTGCACAGTGGGAAAGTTTTCTTTGGTAGGCCTGATATTGTATATCATTTTGATGCGACTACTGCCTGGCCAGTTTTCCGGCCTCCGGTGTTGAATGGGTTAATCATTACAGAAAAGAATCTTCTCACCTGTATCTGTTTCTTCAACTCATGCTGTCTCTGAACATCCATCGACACTGCCAGAAACACAGGGTCTCTAAACAACAGAATATTAGCAATTTGCGAAACATGTTCGAAACACTAACAAAAATAGAAAGGTGTTTGCATTTCACGTATGAACTTAAGTAGCGGCACCATATCCTGAATGGGCTAACTCTTCCTCCCCTTAGATACAAGTACCTGGAAACATTCTGACTTGACCAAATAATAGCTGGCTTCCCCAATATCCATTTATCTTTCATCTCTTGCATTATATTGTCATTGCCCCATGCAGCACAACTTTGTCCCATGCCTCTAAGAACTTGAAAAAACAATCTGTAAGGATGTCAACTTGTACACATTGCAAAATGACAAAACTCAAACAACAATAGATATTGTTGGATACATGGTATTCATTGTCAAGTATCATACTGACATTTAATTAACTATTCCTGATCTTGAATTGTTTTGCAATTCACCGTTCTCATTTGGAGACAGACTGCAGTTTGATGTGTCCTGAATTGACTGAGCATAGAGAACTAAGTTTGGTGTGTCCTGGATCTGCTGAAGATACAGAACTAATTTTGGGGTGTCCTGTGTTGACTGAGCATAGAGAACTAAGCTTGGTGTGTCCTGGATCTGTTGAAGATATAGAACTAAGTTTGCTGTGTCCTGGATCTGTTGAAGATTCAGAACTAAGTTTGAGGTGTCCTGGATCTGTTGAAGATTCAGAACTAAGTTTGGGGTCTCCTGGATCTGCTGCAGATACAGAACTAAGTTTGGGGTGTCCTGGGTTGACTGAGCATAGAGAACTAAGTTTGGTGTGTCCTGGGTTGACTGAGCATAGAGAACTAAGTTTGGTGTGTCCTGGATCTGCTGAAGATACAGAACTAAGTTTGGGGTGTCCTGGGTTGACTGAGCATAGAGAACTAAGCTTGGTGTGTCCTGGATCTGTTGAAGATATAGAACTAAGTTTGCTGTGTCCTGGATCTGCTGAAGATATAGACCTAAATTTGGGGTGTCCTGCGTTGACTGAGCATAGAGAACTAAGCTTGGTGTGTCCTGGATCTGTTGAAGATATAGAACTAAGTTTGGGGTGTCCTGGATCTGCTGAAGATATAGACCTACCGTATTTTTTGCACCATTACCGCTCCTGAATATTACCCGCACCCGGTTTTGGACTTAATCTCCGCGACACAGTCCACACATAACCCGCACCTTACTATTACCCGCAACCTTTAGTGCGATTCAGTGTAAAAATAAAAGTAAGGCAGAATATATATTTCAGTCGCCAGGATCTAAGCGTACCTTTATTGGGAGTTGCCTTCAGAAGTTTTCAAAATCGTTGTAATTTGTTATCCTTCTTCTTTGTTATATATCCTTTTTCCATATTATTTGAAGTAATAAATTGTCACTATTAGTGTCGTTGACCGATTGAACATCGTGTGGCTGAATGCGGATCGTAAGCGTCGCCATTTTAGAAGTAGACCGCTACCCGAATGGACAATATTGTGAAGTAAATTCACGTTTCAGACAACTTTAATGATCTTCCCGGGATAAATCATCATGTTTTCTGAATAATAAAAATAATCCATCGTTGTTATTACAAAATAAATGATTAAAACTGATGTGTCGTTTTAATTTCTTTGTCTGGCTGCACTCGCGACAACTCTCTTACCCAGAGTTCCTTGCGGCCAGACTCTGCCTGAGCCAGAAAGATGTGGCGTTTTTAACACAGTCCATTCAATATAATGTACATATTTCCTAACTTTTGTTATATTTGATGAGTCTACACATCTAATTAAACATCGTTGCTAAAATGGTTTAGTTTCACTGAGAAAATATCCTGAAGCGTGTACCACTATTTACGATTTGCTTGGCGATCCTTTGTTTACATGGGTTTATGCATTTGCGTACGTGCTGTCATCGAAACTTTATGGAGAGCAAGCGATGCAGCCTGTTTGAAATATAAATATGTATTGTCATAATAGTTCACGTAACAGTGTAAAACTGAGTATTAGATGTTATGCTAAGTCATCGCTGAGCCGTGTGAGTGTGTACTGCGACCTACCACGTGCCAATCAGTCGAGGGTTTCCGGCATGAATTTAGTGATTGGCTGAAAATACCCACCCACACAAATTAAGCCAGTAGAAACACTTCAATTCATATCATAATAGCAAATATACTCATATGGTTAAAAATAGCGTGAAACACATAAGAATATAAATAAATAACATGCAGCAACCGAAGAGCTAGAATCATTTATTTTGACAAATGATTATTTTGATTAAATCATTATTCTGCCAAAGCATTCTGAAAGCATTTCAGTTCATTTTGTCTTCACTGATGGACATTTCACGGTAGCCGTTACTTTCGTTTAAGTCGTCACTTTGAAAGCCATCAAAGTCCCTCGTCTTCAGTGTCGAATGGAAGATCTGGGCAATTTCTGGAGGTATAATTGAATCTGCAGTGTCCATTTCTTCATCTTCTGAGTCAGACTCAACAAGTACCGGCACGTCGTCGGACTGCGTCCTGAATGATCTCAGCTTTTGAAATCCGTTAGCGATTGTTGATACACTGATCTTGTCCCATGCCTCGACAATCCATTTTGCAAACTTCAGCATAAGTTGCCCCACGTTGCCTTCCAGTCTTGGTGAAGGTGTGCTCTCCACTACACATCCATCTTTCCCAAGAAGCTCTCAGGAGTGTCTTTGAAACATCTGTTAACACTAATATCCAGTGGCTGGAGCGGCTTGGTCATTCCACCAGGAATCACAAGAGGGATTGTGTTCACTGTCTTTAATTTTTGCTTAATCCCATCGGTGATGTGAGCCCTCATAGAATCCATAATGAGACCGGCTTTCTTAAGATGGAAAAAGCCTCCTGGTCGTTTACAAAACACTGAGAGAGCCAGATAGCCATCTGCTCCTCGTCCATCCACCCCTTCTTGTTACACTGGATCACAATACCACTTGGAAATTTCTCTTTTTGGCCGTGAATTCTCTTGAATATCACCATGGGTGGAAGCTTCTTTCCAGATGCTGTAACAGCCAGAACAACCGTAAGCGGCGACTTCTCATGGCCTGTCGTCCGGATTGTGGCGGTGTCTCTAGCCTTGGGTTTTCGACTGTCCGGCTCATCGGTATATCCGAATGTCAGAGCACCTTTCGTCCATGTTGACAATTTGATCAAGTATCGATCCCATGTTCTTTGACTACTGAACTAACATAATCCTTAAAGGTCTCCAGTTTCTCTTGGAAGTCAGCTGGTAATTTCTGTGCCATGGTAGTACGGGCCCTTATGGAAAGCTGCTGGGCTTCATGAACCTGAAGCACCAAGATGGTCCTCCCATAAATTCGGAAATCCCATCTCCTTTGCAAGAACACAGGCCTTCAGGCCAATTTGAACAGTGCTCACACCCGACAGGCAGCTCTCTGTTCAAGGATCCAGTCATGGATACTCTTCTCCAGCATGAGGCCATCTTGCTTTGTTCCCTCGGAAAGACTTTGTTGTTTTTCTTCGTTTTTGGGTTGGTCCTTCTGTTTTTCGCCAATATCTTATCAAAAGATTCATCAACTCAATTTCTGTGCTGACTGGCGATTCCCGTTTTCTTCTTGGCAAACTTGATAAGCCTCAAGTTTGAAGGCAGCTGTATAGCTCTTCCGTTTTCGTACTGGCGGCATTACGTAAAATTATCAAAGAATGTGTATCGCAGTGAAAGATGAATAAAATGTGTGATAAATAAATTCTGTCTGAGGGTATAAATAAGGGCAAAGCGAACCAAGACCCGATTGGTAAAAAACAAAAAGAAATATTGTAAAACTATCCAATGACAGCTCAGACCTTTGAGTCTCAATACATACAACTAAACTGTTCAAATATTTATTTTACCTAAAATGACTGTGAACACACGCGGGTGGGAGGACAGCAACTAAACTGTTCAAATATATATTTTACCTAAAATGACTGTGAACACATGCAGGTGGGAGGACAGCAACTAACAATATTGATTTTCTTAATTGTTGTGACAACACTACATCGGTGAAATCTCTTTGTAATCCAGCGAATTGCATTAGGATTGTGTTGACAGTATTGTATTCTTAATTTTGTTTCTTTATATACAATATATTATCTTGTAGCAAAATACATTACCAACCCTTTTAACTAATCATTGGCCCTCCCCATTAATTATCAAGCGACACTAAATTACGAAAAACATCAATGTAAATACCTGCCACGCCCACCCACATGTCGCGACAAGTTCATGAATATTCATACAAGAACCGACACCTCCATGGCTAAATGTCGATTGCTATATTTTTATCGTTTTAGAAATGAAATAATCACGCGAAGTAAATTCACAGTACCATTTATAAACTTTTGCTGTCAATAAAGTATGTATTAGCATTGCTGATTCCGTATAATTAACGACAAAAAGTTTTTGCTTTTGCGCGTCCGACATTTTGGCGGCGTTCGGACAGCCAGGGTTGCGATCGATCTGCTGGAGGCGGAATTACGGAAGGCATTGTATGCTCTTTGAACATTTTCATAACAGTTACAAGCAGGGTTGTTTTATTCATAAATCAAATCTACTGTCATATTATTGATATACATTTCGATTTGAAATTGAAAGTCACGTTTTAAATAGCTCATCACGGCGACTACATTCTCAGGGTATTTTATAACACTTCCTTAAAACTCTTGTTTTCTCCGTGTAAAATCCACACATAACCAGCTCTGGATTATAACCCGCTGCCACATAGCCCGAAGAGTTTGAGAGGGAAAAAGATCACGGGTAATAGTGCAAAAATCACAGTAAATTTGGAGTGTCCTCGTTGACTGAGCATAGAGAACTAAGTTTGGTGTGTCCTGGATCTGTTGAAGATATAGAACTAAGTTTGGGGTGTCCTGGGTTGACTGAGCATAGAGAACTAAGTTTGCTGTGTCCTGGATCTGTTGAAGATATCATGGAATAATTATTCATAAAAAATTCATTATTAATTATAACCACTACAAGCGATATATTAGGATTCAGATATTAGGAAAATATAAATATAGAATATTAGTTTCATCATGTATCAGTAATAGCTTAGAGAAAGAATCCAGTCAAAAGTAGTAAAACTCATCTCACAGACATACTATTGAAAAAGGTATAAATTACGGCTGCACAATTTCACAGACTAAACGTCTATAAAATCCTAGCCTAAGGTATCAAGGACTCAAGCTGTTAGACAAACCTTTCAGCAAGAAAAAGTTATGACTAGACGGTTTAATAAACTGTTTTGATAAAGTAAACACGTCGTTAAGATCTAGCCCAGGGTAAGGATCCAAGCATCCAGTAAAAGTGCCAACGAGATCAGTGCCAGTTGAAATAGGATTAGCAGGATTTAGTACTCCCGCTGTCTGGTCAATGAAGTTGTTTTTGTAGGACACACCCCATTTTGTTATATTCTATATTTCATTGGTTATTGTAGGTTACACCCATTTTTGTATCAGTCAACGAATCATAATCTCTTCCTTGTTTCAATTCTAGATAAATAGTCACTATCTCCATTCATTTGGCAGTAGGGTTTAGACTCCCAACACAGGTCAGCTCTAGCCCTCAGCGCAGAGGGTTGTACCGACTCTCTGTGGCCACCCATGTTATTCCATTCTTGTAAATAAAATTGCAATTAGCTTCTTGTGACTCCGGACTCTTTGCTGAGTTAATTCCCCCGAGCAGACCAGCACGCCAGTTAGATAAGGGGTTTCACCGGAATCCTCACTTGGACCCAAGACCCCTATCATAACAAAGATATGGAACTAAGTTCGATGTCTCCTGGATCTGCTGAAAATACAGAACTAAGTTTGGTGTGTTCTGGGCACCTATTCTCAAAAGTGTCCCAGCTAAGACAGATCCTAAGTAGTTATGACAGGAGTTAGGACATCCTACCATTAGGATAAGACACATTCTCGAAATGATCCTATCCCTGTCCTAACTTGTGCTACCTATCCCAGCTAGCATAGCGAGCCCTTCAGTAGGTGATATAGAAAAACCTTCATTCAGTCGGGGATTCCCCTAAATTTTACCCATGATTCCATAAAAAACACACATATAAGGGCAACTACAATCTCATTTACAAGATAAATGGTAAGACTAGAAATCGAAGTAAAAGCCTTGAAGGAGGTGAAATTCAGCTTTTGATGGACTTAGTAGATCTTGAAGAAATTATTAGATATTTTCATCACATTATTGTAGTTTTGAAGTTTTTGAAAATTCATTTATTTGACAAGGAGACAACATATTTACTTCAGACTTGAACTCTCATTGAACAGGAGTTACACTTGAACAGGAGCTACTTCCCCTATCAAGTTGGCCTTGACATTGACATTTCACAGCAATGTGATAGAAAAGAGCAATGTTGCGATTAAAATGGCCGAGAATAGGTAAGAACTCAACAAATCTCTTTTGTAGATCTAAAGAATATGTGCATTGCAACAAGTGTGTCTATTCATTACTGATAAAATGATAATATAAACTCAAAATAATCTTCTTAACTCATCAAAACTGTGTGCTGTTGTAAATTCAAATGTAATTTAGGCGAGTTATTTTGTTTGACGTCAAAATTGGTGAACAAACAAGAACCACACCATGTTGACTTCCACTAAGATAGACTAAGGACAAGTCAAAACCTATCCTAGTATTTGTCCTAAGTTAGGATAGCCTAGTGCTAGGATACATTCGAGAATAAGGTAGGACACCTATCCTAGACGTCAGGATCAAAGTTAGGATATCCTAAGGCTAGGATCCTTTCGAAAATAGGGGCCCTGGATCTGCTGAAGATATAGAACTAAGTTTGCGGTGTCCTAGATCTGCTTAAGATATACAACTAAGTTTAGTGTGTGCTGGATGTGCTGAAGATATACAACTAAGTTTAGTGTGTACTGGATGTGCTGAAGATATACAACTAAGTTTGGTGTGTACTGGATGTGCTGAAGATATACAACTAAGTTTGGTGTGTACTGGATGTGCTGAAGATATACAACTAAGTTTAGTGTGTACTGGATGTGTTGAAGATATACAACTAAGTTTAGTGTGTACTGGATGTGCTGAAGATATACAACTAAGTTTAATGTGTACTGGGTGTGCTGAAGATATACAACTAAGTTTAGGGTGTACTGGATGTGCTGAAGATATACAACTAAGTTTGGTGTGTACTGGATGTGCTGAAGATATACAACTAAGTTTAGTGTGTCCTAGATCTGCTGAAGATATACAACTAAGTTTAGTGTGTACTGGATGTGCTGAAAATATACAACTAACTTTAGTGTGTACTGGATGTGTTGAAGATATACAACTAAGTTTAATGTGTACTGGATGTGCTGAAGACATACAACTAAGTTTGGTGTGTACTGGATGTGCTGAAGATATACAACTAAGTTTGGTGTGTACTGGATGTGCTGAAGATATACAACTAAGTTTAGTGTGTACTGGATGTGCTGAAGATATACAACTAAGTTTAATGTGTACTGGGTGTGCTGGAGATATACAACTAAGTTTAATGTGTACTGGATGTGCTGAAGATATACAACTAAGTTTAGTGTGTACTGGATGTGCTGAAGATATACAACTAAGTTTAGTGTCTACTGGATGTGCTGAAGATATACAACTAAGTTTAGTGTGTCCTAGATCTGCTGAAGATATACAACTAAGTTTAGTGTGTACTGGATGTGCTGAAGATATACAACTAAGTTTAATGTGTACTGGGTGTGCTGGAGATATACAACTAAGTTTAGTGTGTACTGGATGTGTTGAAGATATACAACTAAGGTTAGTGTGTACTGGATGTGCTGAAGATATACAACTAAATCAGTGTGTACTGGATGTGCTGAAGACATACAACTAAGTTTAGTGTGTACTGGATGTGCTGAAGATACACAACTAAGTTTGGTGTGTACTGGATGTGCTGAAGATATACAACTAAGTTTAGTGTGTACTGGATGTGCTGAAGATATACAACTAAGTTTAGTGTGTACAGGATGTGCTAAAAAGATATACAACTAAGTTTAGTGTGTACTGGATGTGCTGAAGATATACAACTAAGTTTAATGTGTACTGGGTGTGCTGGAGATATACAACTAAGTTTAGTGTGTACTGGATGTGCTGAAGATATACAACTAAATTAGTGTGTACTGGATGTGCTGAAGATATACAACTAAGTTTGGTGTGTACTGGATGTGCTGAAGATATACAACTAAGTTTGGTGTGTACTGGATGTGCTGAAGATATACAACTAAGTTTAGTGTGTACAGTATGTGCTGAAGATATACAACTAAGTTTAGTGTGTACTGGATGTGCTGAAGATATACAACTAAGTTTAATGTGTACTTGATGTGCTGAAGATATACAACTAAGTTTAATGTGTACTGGATGTGCTGAAGATATACAACTAAGTTTAGTGTGTACTGGATGTGCTGAAGATATACAACTAAGTTTAGTGTGTACTGGATGTGCTGAAGATATACAACTAAGTTTAATGTGTCCTACATCTGCTGAAGATATACAACTAAGTTAGTGTGTCCTGGATCTGTTGAAGATACAGAACTCAGTGTGGTGTGTCCTGCGTTGACTGAGCATAAAGAACTAAGGTTAGTGTGTCCTGGATCTGCTGAAAATATAGAACTAAGTTTGGTGTGTCTTAGATACAGAGTGAGCGACTGAGTTTAGTTTTACGCTGCACTAAGCAATATTCCAGCTATGAGGGGCATCCCAAAAGTAGTCGGCCTAACTATATTCTCGTTGTCCAATGTTAGAAAAGCTACCATTTTATTTTGAAGAAATCATTAGCAAAGCCATATCCCAAATTTCACATATGTGGGTAATGTGGTTTACGAGATATTAATCATCACAACACATTGGGGTATAATATTTCTTTAAAAATTGCAGAAAGTGAAAAATGATCTGTCATGTTGTACTTCTTTGATAATGGTCTGCCCTCAGATAATATCAGATAAAATATGTTCAGTATAGTATTAGATGACTTCCCATTATAATCAACATTCAAAGATTTGGATTGCTTGATTTATATTTAGACAGGGCTGTTTTTAAAGGACACCCCCATTATAATCTTCAAAAACATTGTGTCCATATATTCAAGCTGGCACTTTTTAAAATATATTGCGTGCTGACACTTGTGTGACCGTTCAGTATTTAGTTTGAACCCTTGGCATCATGTATGAATAAGTGAAAACATTAGAATAAATTATGTCCTTATGATTACGTGATCTGAAAGGGGTTGGGTAGTGTCTCCAAAACCAGCTGTTTCAGTAAACATCATGGGGGAGTCACTTTAACAAGCGATTGTAGTTTCAAATTGCATTTTTATGTATTTTAATATCTACGTTTGATTCTAGAGGACTTCTGCCTATCTGAAACACACAAAATGTTTCTTGCATATTTTGTTTCCTGAAGTTTGTGATGCATTTATTGCAGATTTTGTGTTTTTAGGGGGTACCAAGATAAAGATTCAAACAAAATGGGGATCGTGAGGCTGGAACATGTCAAAAGCAATTTGCTTGAGGTTGACAGATAAAATGTAGAAAATAAAACATAAAAACAGCTGCATTTGTATAATTTTCTAGGTGAGGCCGACTACTTTTGGGACGCCCCTCGTATATGGCGGTGGTCTGTAAATAATTGAGTCTGGACCAGACAATCCAGTGATCAATAGCATGAGCATCGATCTACACAATTACGATACGATGACATGTATCAATCAAGTCAGCGAGCCTGACCACTGACCACCCGATCCATATAGTCGCCTCTTACGACAAGCATGGGTTACTGAAGATCAATTCTAACCTAGATCTTCACGGGTCGATACAGAACTAAGTTTGGTGTTTCAAAGAGGAGCTGAATATACAAACCTTAGTTTGGTGTTTCTAGCAGATATCTCTTTGTTTCCATATCGAGATCTCTTTATTGTATACTGAAATGAAACAAAATATAGGTGAGGAAGGTAGGGCTGCACAATATAACCGGTTTACCGGTATTTACCGGTGTAGACGTGAAAACGATATGTACTGCGATATGCTGATCGAAAACAGGTATTTTGACATGCATTCGGAAAACTCTGTAACATTCGGAAATCTTCGGATATAATATAGAACAAACTTTATGGATAACAACTTCTTTTATTCGTGAGTGCGACGTTTCGATACAGATTCTTGTACCGTTGTCAAGCAGGAATGGAACATGAAGAAGGGGGATGTATATATATAATTATACTGAATGTAACAATGTAACAAAGAAAACAACATAGTTAACATAATTGGCTAGGCAGCCAGCTGATGATGCCAGACAGTAGACAAAGGACAGGCGTGGAAACCAATGATGTACAAATAATAATGTGGTGTTTATACAGCAGAGTTTATACAGTAGATTGGGCTTGGTAGATGAGTGCATCATAAACGGATGAAATGAAGTACCCTTGGTCTCGGTTGATGGTGGGCTTTTGGCATTTGATGTGGATGGCTTCAGTGAGCTTGCGTTTAGTGAAGTCTGTTTGTTTGTTTGTTAGCCCCTCTGAGTCCGATAAGTCCGGGATTAACAGTAATATGGGCGGATTGTCCGTATAAAGTCCTGGCAAGCCGTTGCCGTAACTGTAGCCGTTGCATGACTATCCGTGGCATTCCCCGTAAGACAAGCAGCCCTCCGCTGGGAGTCTGCCGTGAAGCCCGTGCTATCTGACGGCTGGTAAGGGACCGTGCCGGCGGCCTAAGCCCGACTAATGGAATCCCCCCCCAAGCCGCACGGGCGACACAGATCCACCGGAGCGTAAAACGATAGCCGGCTCTGCGGACGGTCTGGCTTGAGTACTGGACCCTAAGGGTACCCCGCACATGGTGGTGTCCCTCCCGTACGAAGCCTTAGCGTCTCCCGCCGTGGGGATCGGCAACCCAGCTTCAAGACGGTGGTGGTACTCGGCCGAAACGAGCATAGCACCGTGCCGCCCTACGGGAAATGACTGTTGATTCAGGGGCCTAGTGCGCCCGTCATCGTCTGTGTTAACGATTCCGTGAAATCTAACTGCCTCTGCATTTCTGATATTTTCCCATCGTTACGCTTTTCAAACTCATGGAAAGATTGCCGCATGGATGCCTGAATATCCAACTTAAAATCCAACAATAGGGACGTAATGGCCGACATGTCCACTTGGCTGGACGAAGAACTAGATTTTGATCTTGACCTAGACTTAGTCTCTGATTTAATGGAATCTGGCTGAGGTTGCGAAGCAGATTTCTTAATTCTAGATGAATCAGATGAATCCGATAATTTCCTTTTCCTGGAATTATTGCGAGCCTTGTCAATAATTAACCAGTCCTCTTTTGATAATTCTGAGCACAGCAAACAACGATTATCTAAAGAGCAAGGCGATCCCACAAAACATGAGGCACATAATGAATGAGGGTCCGATTCAGCCATGAATCTGTGTCATTGCAAGTACTTGTTTTGCGACATTGTGAATAAGTCCTAATGGCGGGAAAATCTAACTCCTCACAAGTAATGCAATTGCAAAATATACAGTTCGCAATATAATGCGATGGTCAGAACAGACCAACTGCGATATCACTAACCAGTACACTTGCAAAATTCACTTGTGAAGACTTTCATTGATAATTCTCTTCCACTTCTGTGAACGTCTGCACGTGAACCATACAGAAAAAATTATGAGGGCTTGGATAGGACAAAGCTGTGACGTCACGGCTAGGGGAGATAACTGTGTCACTCTTTAGGCATACCACTAAGGATAACTATAACTTAGTTTTTTTAAGAGAACTTTTTCTCTTTCATTTCTGTATGTCACTGTGATACCACAGGAAACTGGCAACCATAATCCAGAGGGAACGTTTACGACATAATTATCAAAACTTACAGTACACAATCTTTTCGTTTTATAAAGGGTGCCGCCAAAGGCGTCACCATCTGTAGAATGCCACTGAAGTAATCTTGTGAAATCGGCCCCCAGTGAAGATTAGCTATAAAACAGTTCCTGTAGTAGTTAGCCTTTATTCATTATTAACATTGATTCAACATTTTTCACCGTACTCAAACACAGCTATTGGATTCTAATTTCAGGTTAATCTATTGAATCTATTTTCAACTATATGTTGCCGGATGTATTTCCCCATACATTTGCGTATCTCTTACTTTATTCCTCTCTGCTCATTTATGAGTGCTTCTTCTATCACTCTTACTCTGGTTTTAATACCAGTTGTATCCCGTGCATTACCTGTTCCGTGACGTAGGCATTTTCATATTTGCCACTTCATGTCACGCCACGGCTGAGGTGAGTTGCTACACCCCTCGGTCATACATCATTTTCGACTGATGTCCATATCTATTTTACAGGTATGTACCTTTTCTGTATACTTTCGTATTATCATAAAGGTTCGCGATATCGTAATATTGATAAGATATCTATTGCATATCTATTATATGGCATCGCGTTGCACGAGATTACTAATTAGACACTGGCACCAGCACGTCAGTAAGTGTGAGTGATGTCTGCTTTCCTGAATTTGTTCATAATATTCTACTTTATATCGAGTGCAATATTATTTAAAATACTCTAAATACCATATTATAAATGTACATTGTGCAATGGTAAAATATGTGCAATAGTGATATTGCCACTTCATGTCAGGCCACGGCCGAGGTGAGTTGTTACATCCCTCGGTCATACATCATCTTCGACTGATGTCCATATCTATTTTACAGAATAAACAGATTTTAATCAACTACGCCTCAGTCCGATTTATCTGCAGCCAGGACCCGCAACAAAATGGCGCCCGAACAGGGACTGAGGGTTGAGCCACAACGACAACATTGCTGACGTCACATCATCCATTGTCATCGATGTCTTCTCCGCCATCGGGTCGATCGACGATCCGTCAGCCAGGTCATCATCGTCCATACCGTCACCATCACATCACCGTCAGTCATGCACCGTCATCGCTACAGGTTCAGTTATAAGTATGCCACGATTTGACGTTCGATGATTTTTATATCATCACACTTTACATGTCTCATGTGCTAGGACTGTGCAGTGACTACAACTCCATGATTATGGACATGTGATATTTCTGCTGTGATATTTGTGCCTTATATTACGGTACATGACAATTCACCTATTCATGTTTCATCACTTATGATATCCACGGATTGAAGAACTCTGAGATACTCACGTGAGATATTTGAGACATTTGAAACTATGCTATTTTCATCAACATTTCCTGATTGTTGATATTTATGCTCTATATATATGAACTATGTTTTGATATATTTCACGTGATATTAATACTCTCATGTGAAATATTTTGCTTAGTTTCACGTGCACATTGCAACATTTTTGTATATTCTCATAAATCGTCATAGTAGACATATTGAGTGTTTACTATGAGCTGGTAAGAATATAGTGTATCTCTGCAGAGGATTAGTTAGCATTAGTTACTTACAGGCCTATAGTTTGTACACACTTAGTTTAGTATTTAGAGAGACAAAAGACATTGTACAACTTATGTCTTTTAGTTATTTGTCTCTTAGGGCTTTGTCAGTTACTCATTTTACATTCTGTGTTTAACGTTTGTGGTAGTTTTATTCAACTTAGTTTTATACATTCATATCATGGAGTGATTGAGAGTGTGCTCGAATACATCTCACCTGCACTTATACTAAAAACATCACAGTACATTGTTTTTTCGTATTTTGTGTTCTTGTTTAAAATTTTGCGTATTTCGTATCGCGACCGTGCCTTACACTCGCGTTTCGGATAACACTTGTAATTTGTAACTTATTTTCGCATGTTTACATTTTGGACTTATACTTCCGCGTTACTCATGTAATTCGTAAACATCCGGTAAGGCGTGATTTCCGGTTTACTAAGCTTCCGGTTTTTCATCTTCATGTTAGTTCAATAAACTTGATAGGTTCTTTGTTGTTTTACTTTATTATTACTTTTGACATTTTCATTGCCTTCGTCATTAGAAATAACTTTTCCTTACTATCCACTTTCACTGTTTGATATATGCTTTACACCTTTGTATTTTCAGTATGCATTGGTTGACATCCGCTTCCTTTGTTTACATGTTTGTTTACTTGGTAGTGGCATTGCATATTTTCTAGTGTATATACTTTAGTGTTTGGTGTTTGGTATTCTTCCATTTGGCCAGTTGCTTACATACTCAGGTCATTGTGGATTTATTCTGGTTTGGATTTTGATTGTATTTTTGTGGTCCAGACTTATTGGTTCTTGGCTTGTATTGCGGTTGGTTATATTCCTGCTTCATCTGAATATCCCCACACATAGTTAGACATGTTCTAGTTAGGAAGCACTTATACGCTAGTGTTAGTGAATGAACAGTGTGAACTTGTGTAATTATTCAGCTGGTATCATTATATGGCTACTGGGGTTGAGGATTTGTATGTGGACACTCAGGTCAACTCAGAAGAGGAAGAGAGGAAGATGATCAGTTATTTATCAGCTACAGGACGATATCAGATTCGACCTATTCCTCCTTTATGCTCTTCTACTCAGGATCAGAAGTTCACTCCTAAGATAGAGGAATTCACACCAAGGCATCAAGGACTTAGACCAGACAAGCACATGAGCTTGAGGTTTCAGCAGACTCCACCTGAGATACCCATGTATAGTACCCCATATTTTAATCAAGGTTTTCTGAACCCACAACTCCAACAGTTTCAGCTTCCAAGGATTTCACCCTTTTCTGGAGAGATTCCGGTTCCAAAGAATGAAGCCTCATTTGGATCATGGAAATGGGAACTGAAATGTCTTCTTCAGGACGCCGCTTATCCACCTGCGTTGATAGCCCAGGCTGTAAGGAAATCTCTGAAAGGTGACGCCGCAAGTATCCTTTTATCACTAGGACACACTGCGTCGGTCGAAGCTATAATTCAGAGACTAGACGG